GCGGTCTGTAAATAATCGAGTCTGGACCAGACAATCTAGTGATTGACATTATGAGCATCGATCCACTGGGATCGATGACATGCATCAACCAAGTCAGCGAGCCTGACCACCCAATCCCGTTAATCGCCTTTTACGACAAGCATAGTTGCCTTTTACGCCAAGCATGGGATGCTACCCCGGATCTTCACGGGTCATTTGGGTATATAGATACACTGACTTGATCATGTACATGTGACAGATGCTGGGAAGTAACGGTGTGAGTGAGTGAGTGAGTTTGGTTTTACGCCGCTTTTAGCAATATTCCAGCAATATCACGGCGGGGGACACCAGAAATGGGCTTCACATATTGCACCCATGTCGGGATTCGAACCCGGGTCTTCGGCGTGACGAACGCTTTAACCACTAGCCTACCCGACCGCCCCAGTAACGGTGTGGAAACACAGATCTTGGCAACAGTGAAAGTGTGGATTTCCTGGTGATAGGACATTTAACATTTAGCCTTAAAACTTCAGCATTGGGTAACGAACACAATTTTAAACGTTTTGGTTTTTTTGGTTTATAAGCAGCAGATTAAGCGCTTGTGCACAGTGGACGTAGTTCAAAGTTAACTGGCGTTATGAGTTTCAACAAAATCAGGAAACGTGCTATCGTGTGACTGGGTTTCTGGTCCTCCACTTGGTTGACTGGTTTGTTTGGATGCCTTCGCGTTGAGGGGGTGCGTCTGTGGGATGTACTTTTAGATATTCATTGTGTGAGTTGCGGGTGTTACCGGTATTGAAGGGACGTGCTTACCCTTCTCGCGAACACCTGGTGTCATCACTGACTTTCAGTGATCAATTCATATATTTTTCATTGTTTTGCCTTTTCGCTCAACGGTGTTTCTATTCTGTTTTCTGTGACGTTGATATTTATTTATTTATGATAAGCCAGTCAAATATTTAGAATTCTTTTGACACTATCTAGCTTAAAGTATGATGCCATCTTTTCCCTACGATTTGTGTTTCATTTTGGCCTTACATCAAGTATCGGTGAATTATTTATAATTGAACTGACACAAAGGAGGTAATTACGGTGATTCTATTTCCCCCCACAATTTTCCAGTTGGACGTTACATCAAATATCCTCATTAAAAATGTCATACAACACTGAAATATACATCAACAATATACTTATTTAGTACTTATGCGCCAACGAAAGATGCAGCTCTCAATTTTGGCATATGGAAATGTATGCATGCAAATTCCCAAATGTATCCACCACATAGATTCCTGATAATGTGACAGAAGAAGGTTTTCTTATGTTCTTATCAACGCCTCCGTAGTCTAGTGGTAGAGCGTCCGCCCGGAGATCGGAAGGTCCGGGGTTCGATCCTCGGCCGCGTCATACCAAAAAACGTTAAAAGATGGTACTTGTTGTTACCCTGTCTGGCGCTCGGCATTAAGGGGCTAAAACAAGGACTGGTCGGCTCGGAGTCAGTATACTGGCGTATTCATGTTAAACTGCGGCATGGTATCTCAGTGAGCTAGCACTATAAATCGGCATCAGTCTGGACTAGTACAAGCAGTCACACACACACACACACACGTACATGCACGTCGCTATATAAGTGCAATAATCTTGGACACGACGTTTAACCCCATTTCACCTCACCTTATGTTCCTATGTCTTGTATCTGCATTGTTAGTGTCGTTGTGATGAAAACCTGAATTCCTTAGTTTCAGACAGTGGATGATGTTGGCTTATTGAATGTGGTCCTTGCCTATTGCATTCTGTGATACTTGTCATTTGTTCTGTATACTTGTACATCAGCTTACAAGAACGCGGCCTACATTAGCAGGCTCCATTAATCAGTATACATACACTATCTTAAGAAGAAGCTGACAAGGTTTCAGTTTGCTATTATTTGAAGGATAACATTTTGATTATTCTTGAGGTTATTTGCCTTTATTAATCAAATGCTTTAATCTCTTCTTGTTGTGTTGTGATGCGACTTATTTTTCACAAAATTGTACACGTGCACATGCATATAAGTCTGCATGTTTATACTTGTACATGTACAAAATTGTATATATGTAATGTTATTGTATGTATATGGGCCTATGGCCAGAATACAATAAATGATGATGATGATGGGGAAATGGAGGGCGCCAGATGTACCTGCTGATAAAGAATGGAATGTTTTCCATCAAAATGTTCTTCCAAATTCATATCGAAAGGATGTTTTGAGTTTGGTCATTGGGGTGTGAACAAAACTTGTGCCAAAATTCTGTCCTATTTCTTTTTTGTCATGTGTGTCAAATGGTTGGCAAACCTAATCCCTGCCGCGCATTTGAAACCCATTCCAGCTTTTGAAAAACCTTTCAGCAGAGTCAACATTGATTGTGTTGGTCCATTGCCTAAAACCAAGTCAGGAAATCAGTACATGCCTACTATCACGTGTGTTTGTGAGAAATACACTGATAAAGCATTAACCTGGTAATTATCACGATTGAAAAATCCTTTGGTTTATTGATGATTAAATATGTTCTAATCAATGAATGCTTTTCGGATATATGTGTGGCATTTCCAAACAGCTGTTGAGAAACGCAGAGCCGAACCTTTCAATAGCACTATCGATAACATCCCTCAACCAGAAAGTTGTAATGAACATGAAAAAGCAATTTACAACTCACACACTGGAACACCCGGCTAATTGGGTTGTGTACAATATTAAGCGAAAACAAAACGTCAATGCTAAAGAATAACCAGTCTCAGATATACCCCGAAACATTCTATTGGGTGTAAAAGGTAAAATAGAGGTGAAAATAATATGAATGGATCACTGAAAATCAGTGATGGCACCAGGTGTTCGCGAAAATAGTAAGCAAGTCCTCTACTAATTCGATCTTTATTAATCAGATGTAATACCACTTAACACAATACACCACTGGAATGTTTTTGGCACTGTGGTTCAAAATTTGCACGACCTTAACTCGACATATGTTTGATAGTCACGATGTCTTCGATTATACCCCTGTAGGTTATACCTAGACGACCATGATCCCTGGACATGGGTCACACACTACAACTGCCCGTGGTCATTTCGGAGAAAGCCATGTTATGCTGGACTTTCCGTGTGAAGAATGTGGTAAGTATACTTGCCAAAAAACGAAACGCATAGCTGAAATCTGTTTTTCACACTTGTACTTACACTAATTTATTGCACCCGAACACAACATTTTGTGACTTGTCGCCAAAATACAGCATCTTGAAACCAAACTGGGAGAAATTGCAAGGAGAAAAAGCTGTAAGCATGCTGCACGTCTGAATACGGCTACTTAACCTTTATACCTATGGGTATAAAAATTTGGCAGTCCTGCTACGAATCACTCTCCAATGTTCTGTATAGGTGACTGTCATGATGCCAAGTCTGAATGAAGACTGTAGAAACAGAGCCATTGGACGTCTAGAAGCTGGAGGAAGTCAGACATCAGTAGCCAGGCACTTTAACGTGAGGCAGAGTACCATTTCTCGTCTGTGGCAGCACTGCAGACTCCACAACTCTACAAGAGATCGACCGAGAAGTGGAAGACCCAGGGTCACAACTGCGGCGCAGGACCGCTTCATCCGGGTGTTGCATCTTCGCAACCGGACAATCAGTGCAGCATACACAGCTAACAATGTTCCTGGTCTTCGTAGAGTCTCAGCGCAAACCATCAGAAATCGTCTAAGACAGCATGGGATATGGCCAATGAGACCATATACAGCGCCCGTTCTGCGGCAACATCATCGTCGTGCACGTTTGCCATTGAGCAGAAATGTTCGACCCCATGGACCCTAGTGCACTGGAGAAGGATATGGTTCAGTGATGAGTCGCAGTTCATGCTGTATCGCCATGATGGTAGGATGCGTGTCTACAGACAGAGAAATGAACGCTACACTCGACACTGTATTCATGAAGTCGACCGATACGGCGGTGGAAGTGTCATGATGTGGGAAGGCATATCCGTGAATGGTAGGACAGATCTGGTGCACGTGCAGGGAAATTTAACTGCTGTACGCTACCGTGATGAAATCCTTCAACGTCACCTTATTCCCGCCATTGACGTCAGAAGAGAGATTTTCTAGCAAGACAACGCAAGACCGCAAACTGCACGTGTGACCATGGATTATCTTGCCCACAACAATGTTACTGTGCTGCCATGGATTGTCTGCTCCTGACTCGATTATTTACAGACCGCCGTCATGTAGCTGGAATATTGCTGAGTGCGGCGTTAAAAAACAAACCAAACCAAACCAAATCTACGCCGAATCTAAATTTACCACAATTAACGAAAACCTTCCAGATGCCTCAGTATCTATTGACTATATCAGATCAACACCCTGATGGTTATGGTGCTGGGTCTGCAAAGGTGTGCATTAATGTGTGTTTGTTGTTTAACGCCGCACTATTCTAGCTATATGACGGCGATCTGTAAATAAACGAGTCTGGACCAGAAAATCCAGTGATTGACATCATGAGCAGCAATCAACCCAATTGGGATACGATGACATGCATCAACCAAGTCAGCAGGCGCTGACCACCCGATCCCGTTAGTCGCCTCTTTCGACAAAGATAGTAGCCTTGTACGGCAAGCATTGGTTGCGGAAGACCTATTCTACCCCGGATCCATAGGGTCGCATTAATGAGCTACTAACCAAAATAAAATGCATTTTAAATTAAACTGATTCTCGTCGGTAATCCCAGAGGCATTATTCAATAAACTCTTTAACAAGAATCAGTTGACGGTTTCCGAATAAAGAATTATTCTTCCCTAAAATCAATAAGTTTGAACACGTAAGGAATTTAGGAACACTGGCGGTATCGGTTTATGTATTGATATTCTTTAACTAGTATGATACTATTTTCCACACGACTGCATCTGTCTTAATTCGTCTGATGATTTATTTACGATAATTATTTCGCACTGCTAAGTTGATTTTCTAAATTGCTCAATGTCCAACGCGACGCAACGCGTCATACACACTTAGGAGGTAGTCGTGAGGACGTGGCATGGCGCTGTCAAGGACGTTGATTGTAATAGGCGTTATACTTGGAACCTATGGCCGTAAGTAATACAAGTAATAACATAGGTATCTGAATATAGTTTGTACACGCATTAACAACATGGGTTTTGATTGCGATTTATTAAAGTATTTGTTCATTGGTTTATTCACCGTTAACTATTACGGTAAATGTTATTCTATTGTAAATATATCAAGGTTTGCACGTTACCACTTATGTTGTAAATCTGAAGTCGATGCAGTCAGTTATACTACCGTAATGTAATGGTATAACGTTACTTTTATGTATGTTAAAATTCACCCTATAAGCGCCAAGGCATGCTGTCAGTTATTCTGACCTATTTAAACCACATACCGTTATTTTCGTTATTACTCGCCCGTGGAAGAAACCGCTGTTTAGGAACAATGAGCTGGTATCGCACAGTGTCTAATACCAAAGCACGTAATTATGTACTGCCATCTTCCTGAGGCAAGGGAGTTAACTGCCTGTAAAAGGCTGCAATGTCGTGGTTCGATCGTAGCGCCACAAGCGGAAATAACGGGTTATTTTATGAAACGAGTGAATAGATCTAGTAGCTGACGAACGTATAACACGGGAGCGAGTTTAGCATTATATAAATACTTTTTCAATATTTACTGTATACTTGGAAACCGATTCTTACATATTTGTCGTCTTTTCTTATATACATGTATTTCTCTTTGCTTCGCAGTCAGATTGTACACAAATGAGGTGTCTGTTAATCCTCCAGGTGAAATGTTAAGATGTTTGAAAGATTGAACGCTCTGAGCCTGTTCTCATTACACCAGGGTGTGAGTAGTAACACATATTAAACACACCGGATAGTCTTCAGCAACCCATGCATGCCGTAAAAGGCGACTATGCTTGTCGTAAGAGGCGACTAACGGGATCGGGTGGTCAGGCTCGCTGACTTGGTTGATGCATGTCATCGATCCAAGTTGCGTGGATCGATGCTCATGGTATTAATCACTGGATTGCCTGGTGCAGACTCGATTATTTACAGACCGCCGTCATATATCAGGAATATTGCTGAGTGCGGCGTTCAACAACAAACATCCCACATCTCAGTAGACGATGAGCAACTTAACAGTATACAGCATAGACGCTAACATGACAATAGAAATTTAAGAATAGAGACTTTAAAGCAGCCAAGACACCTGTCTGTTGTTGACAATGAGGTTTCTTGTAATTTTTCTATTTCAAAATCCAAAATCACTACATAAATACCAAACAAGGTTCTTATCCGATTATGACATACAATAGTCTAAAAGTCTAGATAAAGCCAGCAAGAAGTACTGATTTTGATTTGAATAAATGGAATATATATATACTACTCAAAAGAAGTTAAAGACAATCCGATTCTTTCATAATACTATAGTTAATCGGCCATGGCATGAGAGATGAGGTTAAATGGGGTTTAACGTCGCGTCCAAGATTATTGCGCTTATATAGCGACGTGCATGTACGTGTATGTGTGTGTGTGGCTGCTTGTACTAGTCCGGACTGATGCCGATTTATAGTGCTAGCACACTGAGATACCATGCCGCAGTTTAACATGAATACCCCACTCAGACACAGTATACTGACTCCGAGCCGACCATTCCTTGTTTTAGCCCCTTAATGCCGAGCGCCAGACAGGGTAACAACAAGTACCATCTTTTACCGTCTTTTGGTATGACACGGCTGGGGATCGAACCCCGGACGTTCCGCTCTCCGGGCGGACGCTCTACCACTAGACCACGGAGTCGGTCCTCATGGCATGAGAGATCAACTATACTGATGCGGAAGATTCGGGTGGTCCCTAACTTCTTTTGAGTTGTATATTAACGATGTAACCTAGCAAGACTAAAATGCCCAGTAAGATGAATACTGTCTAATTGATCCGTGCATGTTATTACCGTTGAACTTGTCAGTGAGGGTTCATGAACGTGACGACAAAAAAACGATAAAGCAAATCTTCCGTAAATTACTGTATGAATTGGAACTGTTACAGTATTTTACGGTTGAAAGTTCAGGGTAATATACTGTTGTGGTTGACAGAACTTTTCCCATTCCTTGTTTTGAATAAGATTAATTCATATTAACCGGGAGCGGTGGGAAAGCAGAGATTTCCTAGAGTTAGTGAGTTAGTGAGTTTGATTTTACGCCACTTTTAGCAATATTCCAGCAATATCACGGCGGGGTACACCAGAAATGGGCTTCACACATTGTACCCATGTCGGGAATCGAACCCGGGTTTTCGGCGTGACGAGCGAACGCTTAACCACTAGGCTACCCCACCGCCCCGATGTCCTGGAAGTAAAAGACCGACTCATAGATGATTGACTATTGCCTATGTTTGTACGTGGCACAACGTATGGCCTGATTATGTCAACTGTTACCAACATTTGTACTGTTGCTATTTCAGCCGGTTGGACACGTGGCGGGGAGTATGTTCTTGTTTCGCTGGGGAGTCACGGTGCAGCCATCAAACCCTTCGACATATCCGTGACCTCGCGTTCAGTAAACCTAACGTCAGCGTCGGTGACAACATCCTGGAACCTCACCTCGTCACAGAACACGACCGTGAGCGTAACTCAGGGTCACCTGTTTTCCTATGGGATGGACAGGGTTCTTCAGGGTATCTCAACCAGAGGTGACGCCGTTCATATTCAGACGTCGGACGAAATTGACGTTTCTGTAATCAGCTGTTTCTCCCACTCTGGTGGAGCGTATCGCGCCTTACCTGTAGAGAGTCTGGGTCAGGTCTGTTTCATTATAACGCCAGATGACTGTTCAAACAACTGCCACATCGCCATTGCTGCAACGGAAGACAACACGACGGTGACCTTAACCCCAGGGGACATAATCCCAAATTGGGAGCACGTACCAGGACTGACGTTAAGTAATGATACCTTTACGTTTCAGCTTGACAAACACGAAAGTATAAAACTTGGCAGCGTGTCTGATCTTTCCGGTACACACGTGGAGTCCGATAAACCAGTTGCAGTATTTTCAGGAAGTACTGGATCAAGGGGAGACCGCGGATTTGATACCGTTATAGAGCAGCTTCCGTCATCAGACCAATGGGGGCGGACCTTCTACACCATCCCAACGCCCTACCATGTGTCGAAACAAAACTTTTATAAGTTCATAGCTTCTCATGCCAACACAACTGTGTCAGTAGGTGGTCAAGTGACTGACCTATTGGACGCTGGGTCTTTCGCCACCGTAACCTTGTCATCCGATGCTTTCGTTGAAGTGACCAGCAGCAAGCCGTTGATGATGATAAAGATGGTCCAGAGGGACGCTGGTCTCGATGGTTGCATGTCGCTTGTACTTTCACTGAATCAATATATTTCCGGCACCTCCTTCTTACACAACGGCTACAACAACTACGTCTCCATCATCATCAACGTCACCCACAAAGACGATATTCTTCTGGACCAGAGCCCTCTTCCTGGTACGGCCAATTGGACTCTCAGCGACAATCTCGACATGGCCCTGGGGGTGGTGCTTGTGAGTAATGGCAGTCACACCCTCACCGTGGCTGCCCCTGGGGTCAGGTTTGCTGCCTACCTGCACGGCGTCAGTATCAACACAAACGCAACCGTGTGCTTGCCGCTAGGTGTCGCCCTTTCCGTCAGTAGATGGGTAAGTTGTAATACAGATTAATGGAGACAATATTGTGTTTCGCTGGGTTTAGACCCGGGTTCGAATCCGCCGTGATATGAACTGAGATATAGTGATTAATATACAAGCATGTGTGGCATACTGATGTTATGACACGAGTGTCAAAATTCGGACTGATGCCGATTTATAGTGCTAGCTCACTGAGATACAATATGCCGCAGTTTAACATGAATATCCCACTCAGACACAGTATACTGACTCCGAGTTGACCAGTCCTTGTTTTAACCCCTTAATGCCGAGCGCCAGACAGGGTAACAACAAGTACCATCTTTTAACGTCTTTTGGTATGACTCCGGACCTTCCGCTCTCCGGGCGGACGCTCTACCACTTGACCACGGAGGCGGTCTCGCCGTGATATGAACTGAGATATAGTGATTAATATATAAACATGTGTGGCATACTGATGTTATGACACGAGTGTCAAAATTCTTGTATTTCACGAGTGAGAGCTAGGGTAATACATGACTTTTTAAACGAGTTTCGTATTATCAATATGACACACATGTGAGTGTAATAATTTCCTTATCCATTATTTCTTAATCCTTTTGAGCTCCCCTTAGAAAATGCACTGATCACCATCGATGTCCTGGAAAATCACAACTTGTCGAATGAATATGGGAATATATATTGGCATGCCTCAAAAACTGCATATTATAATGAGAATCGTTATTTTCGAACAGAACTTGTAGATCCCCTTTACAGACTTACACATAACGCACTTTCTACTCTGTTCAGAATACAGTCATGCCCCATTATTCCGACATGGTTGGTTGCATATGTTTATGCCGAATTAACGACTATGCCGGAACGAAATAAGTAGTATCAACGTTCGTGATCGAAAATCGGACAACTATACGATCGATAACGATATAAACACGTAATAAAAAAGAAAAGAAAAATGAAATATTCATATTGTTATGTTAACTAGACATGACTGTACATTGCTCTCTCTCTCTCCAGCCCTCGCCCATGGATACCTGCACGTGCAGCACGGTGTGTTTTGACGAGGATACAGTTAACCGCACGATAACCGCCGAGTTAATCGCCAATCTCACCGAAGAGATCCGAAAGAATCTGACTGTAGAACGGGAACAGCTGTCTGCATCTGTCCGGAAGAGGAAGGCTGCTAGCGACAATCGGCCATCTTCACAAGGTATGGGGACAATCGGCGTCGTCTTCATCACCGTCCTGATGGCTGTCGTGGTACTGTTTGACATCACGGGGATGTTTCTCGGACCCACGTATGCATTTTCAAAGAAGATAAGGAGATCGAAACTTAGACAGAAAACGAAGAAAAAGGACGAAGACATTATTCTCGTCTCCAAATTACAGACAATCACAAGTCATGAATGAATAGAAGGAAATGACGTATGCTTTACAAGACACACGACTAACAAATACGTGAACGTTCAGCTCACGTATACAACCAGTTCATGTGTATGACCTTTAAGCATAAGTTTGTTTGTTTGTTGTTTAACGCCACACTCAGTAAATAATCGAGTCTGGACCAAAAATCCAGTGATTAATATCATGAGCATCGATCCACGCAATTGGGATCGATGACATGCATCAACCGAGTCAGCGAGCCCGACCACCCGATCCCGTTAGTCGCCTCTTACGACAACCATAGTCACCTCTTTACGGCAAGCATGGGTTGCTGAAAACCTATTCTACCCCGGAATTTAAGCCTAAGATCAGTTGTACTCTAGGAAAGGTGTCTTCTTAGAAAGTTCATGTAATACAGGGCATCGTTCCACAAAGCGATCTTAGCGCTACAACTATCGCAGGCCAGTGTTGGAGTATGGAAGTTACGATCACCTTAGCGCTAAGATGGCTTTGTGGAACAGGGCCCAAATCTGATCTTTCATATCACAATCAAATCAGCAATACTAAAGTGCCATTTTCGCCATTTCTGTTTCTACATGTGTAATTGGTAAGATTTGACGTGCTGGTCGGTGACATGCAGACTAAGACACGCACACACGCACACGCACACATGCGCACACGCACACACATATATAATAGATTGTATTCTTCATATTCCACCGTAAGTCTATTTTAACTGCAGTTTAGACATCGCGAGGCCCTTGTGAAGGTTAAACTTCGCACGGCTTAGAAGATCCAAGCAATAACGTCTCTCAAACTTGCTCAAAGATTTTGATCTACTTTTAGACATGGTATTGGCCATTTTGAAGATATGACCATCCTAAACACGCCGCACCCTCATTGTTTACTCGTTTTGAGGTAATGGCAAACTCGTCTGATTTCTATAACGATATCACAATGTTTGAGATCGATTAGTTTGATGCAAACAATATATATGTATATTTTTTATAACAAACACCCCCAAGAAACTGCTCCGACTTGACGCGTGTTACACTCTGATTCCGTTCGTATAATGTTTTATTTAGAACCTGCGAACGAAGTCGGTTTTAAAAATCGAATGAGATATACAATTGCTTTTCTCCGAGTAATCAATAATTGTGTGCGGAGGTTAAAGATGAAATTCACCAAATCACACATCCAACTCCATGCGACGTTCCGCCAGTGGAGCCGACTCCATCGACCGGAGCTTACGCCGTCAACAAAACAGCTCCAGTAAACACCATCTATCATTCATTGTATTAAATGTCACGTTGGTTATGTAGTAAAGTCTTTGATTTTTTTAGAACTTTCGATAGCTGGGCAGTTAATGAGTCTAAACATGAGTCATCTTGACATTTCTTGCTAAGCATAGGAAATAATTGATTTTTACTGAAAAAAAATGTTTCCGAGGTAATCACCAGAGGATCGATAGTTTGCTGTATTATTTCCGTTAACTGATTATCGTTTTGTTTTATGTTTTTGCACGCGATCCCCCACAAAGTATAACTTATTTATGTTCTCAACATAAAGAGATAAGAATGACTTTTTAAACCACGAATGACCTCTAAATAACTTTGGGGTAATCATTACTGCAGGCTGAGTGGGTGAGTTAGTGGGTGGGTGAGTGAGTGAGTGAGTGAGTGAATGACCTCTAAATAACTTTGGGGTAATCATTACTGCAGGCTGAGTGAGTGAGTTAGTGAGTTAGTGAGTGAGTGGGTGGATGGGTGGGTTAGTGAGTGAGTGAGTGAGTGAGTGACCCACGTCATCGGGGTACGATGACACTACACGCCATAACACATTGTTGTCATTCGATCTTCATTTAAATCAGACATGGGGTATTGGGAACCTGCTGTGGTAAATACATCTATACAATTCGGTTTAAAACAGGAATACAACATCACAGCGAGCTATGTATAACAGATAGGAGGTATTATGATGTGAATAATCTTCAGGAATGCTTCCGACAATTATTTTCACCCCCCCCCCCCCCCCCCCCCCCCCCCCCCTAGTGGTTAAAGCGTTCGCTCGTCTCGCCGAAGACCCAGGTTCGATTTCCCACATGGGCCACGATCTGTGAAGCCCATTTCTGTTGTCCCTCAAAAATGAAGAATAGAGAATTCGTCATTAACTTCATTTGGTCAAGCTCGTGTTTGATGCCAAATAACCCCCAGACATGCATCACGAATGGGAGAAACCTGTCTCACTAAGGGGGCGGTTGGATAGCCAAATGATTAAAGTGTTCGCTCGTCACGCCGAAGACCCGGGTTCGTTTTCTAACATGGGTACAATGTGTGAAGCCCATTTCTGGTGTCCCCCGCCCTGATGTTACTGGAATATAGCTAAAACGACGTAAAACCATACTCACTCACTAGAGAGACCCTTCCCAATTGTGTTCTAAAACACTTGTCCACTTTTTCATTATCCTACTTGTGACTCAAAGCTGCAGAAGTACCTTTTATTATGTAAATCATGATCAATGTTCAAATATTGATATACGTTTCATGTTTATGACAATTGTGCATTATTTGTGTATTTTCATCTTCACCCAATACTCTTTTTAGGATTAATTAGGATTTAGACAACATCGCCAAGTGAGTGTTTTAAAGTTTTATCTTTTTTAATACGCCCTTTTTTCGGATGGAATATTTCTCAGACAATAATGACCTCACTATTTATTGTTTCAAGTCCAGCGCCTAACTGTAAGCGCAAAGGGAGACTACTTTTGGTACACTGTTATCACTAGGCACGTTGAACATCTCAATGCCCGTCTCCGTGATGCATAGTTTAACCGTCAGCATTGAGCAATGAACCAGCCCCGTCATTTAATCTATTGAAATTAAACATCAGACCAATAAAATTGAATGATTATACTAAACTGTTTAAAGGTTCCACGTCTACCGGTCAGTGTGACCTTTTAAGGCAAGAATGTAGACACTATCGATCTCGCTAAGTAGCACAGGGAAAAGGAACAAGTTCTCTTCTCGATGGAATGAAATAAATAATCACGTACCCTTTGGGAATTGGAACTTTTATTGAACGTCATTCTGTGATGATGCGGCTTGATAAACCTCGATGTTATTGGGAATTACGCTTCTTGTGATCAAAGTGAAAGATGTTTTTTTTTCTAAAATAAACGTAGAATAAAATATATGACTGAATTGGCGTGGTGTTTTTGAGCGTGGGTGAATCTTGTTTTCTATCACGTTGTGGTATTCCAGGTATATCTCGTCAACCTGAAAAAAACCGATCTGGGTCGTACAAACAGGTGGTTGATATTATGAGCAACGACCAAAGCCATATGCGATGATACACACTGGTCTGACAATGTTACTACTAATCCATATTGGACAGATATCACAACAGTGAAGATCCGGGTTAGAATAGGTCTTCAGAAAACTGCTTGTATGGGACTGGAATATTGCGGCGTTTAAAAACAAACACACAAAACAAAACCAACAGCATGGTTTAATAAATACTTATCCCGCCCTAGAATCAGCTGCAGGGATCGGTTGCAGGGGATTGTAGCTATGACCAGTGTTGAATCCATATTTTAACATAGGGATACAACAGTCGCAGCGCTAAGCTCGCTTTGCGCAACAGGCCCCAGTCTTCGATGTATTTTATTGTATTGCTCCAAAGGAAGTTCGACCTGACGGTACTAAACGTGAAGCAACATTTGAGATTTGAGTGATAATGTTTTCATAAATCATCTGACTACTCTGACTTTGTCTTCTTACATAAAATATTATTAACGAAGTTTGTATTCACATGTTCTGGAGTGTTCCAGTTCATCAGAGATCAGAGATTTGTTCGCATCGGCCATCCGGGCTCGATTGCTGCCATTCGGAATCCGCAATCAGCTGACCTCATTACCAGGTCATTTCCTATTGGCCAGACACCCCATTTGACAGACAGCTTAAAACAACAACTTTTATGGTTGAGGGCACATATGGTGTGTGATATATTCCCTTAAATCCGAATAGACTAGTCCTGATGTCAACAACTGTCTAACTGGTACAAAAAACACAATTTTTTATATTTTTTTTATACAAATCGGTGTTTATTGTTGATTTGTTATAGCTTTATACTTTGGAAAATATTGCACAGTTAAAGCATGTTTAATACATAACATATACATAATATATAACGACCATCAATCTGTGGAGTGAGTATGGTTTTACGCCGCTTCTAGCAAAATTTCAGCAATATCACGGCGGGGACACCTAAAATGGGCTTCACACATTATACCCATGTCGGGATTCGAACCCGGGTCTTCGACGTGACGAGCGAACGCTTTAACCACTAGGCTACCCGACCGCCCCTCCATCAATCTGCGGAAGGACAGGAATAGTCTTGAGGCGATGTCCATTGAGGGCACTGCTCAGGCCAGGGTGAGGTGAGGTGAGGTGAGGTGAGGTGAGGTGAGGTGAGGTGAAATTGGGTTTAACGTCGCGTCCAAGATTATTGCACTTATATAGCGACGTGCATGCACGTGTATGTGTGTGTGTGGCTGCTTGTACTAGTCCGGACTGATGCCGATTTATAGTGCTAGCTCACTGAGATACCATGCCGCAGTTTAACATGAGTACCCCACTCAGACACAGTATACTGACTCCGAGCCGACCAGTCCTTGTTTTAGCCCCTTAATGTAGAGCGCCAGACAGGGTAACAACAAGTACCATCTTTTAACGTCTTTTGGTATGACGCGGCCGGGGATCGAACCCCGGACCTTCCGCTCTCCGGGCGGACGCTCTACCACAAGACCACGGAGGCGGCGCTCATGCCAGGGAATGATGGTAGAGGTGAGGTGAAGTTGGGTTTAACGTCGCGTCCAAGATTATTGCACTTATATAGCGACGTGCATGCACGTGTATGTGTGTGTGTGGCTGCTTGTACTAGTCCGGACTGATGCCGATTTATAGTGCTAGCTCACTGAGATACCATGCCGCAGTTTAACATGAATACCCCACTCAGACACAGTATACTGACTCCGAGCCGACCAGTCCTTGTTTTAGCCCCTTAATGCCGAGCGCCAGACAGGGTAACAACAAGTACCATCTTTTAACGTCTTTTGGTATGACGCGGCCGGGGATCGAACCCCGGACCTTCCGCTCT